TATCAAACACAGCCTGATATAAAGAGGTATGAAGCACTAATATTGAACACTTCATGGCTAATACACCACTGTAACTTGGTATCAAACATGGCCTGATATAAGGAGGTATGAAGCACTAATATTGAACACTTCATGGCTAATACACCACTGTAACTTGGTATCAAACATGGCCTGATATAAGGAGGTATGAAGCACTAATATTGAACACTTCATGGTTAATACACCACTGTAACTTCTTTATTCTGTATATGAATGTTCTCATAGGAATAAAATATTCATTGTTTCCTCTCTGTTTGTTTCAGGATGATGAAAAACTTCTACAAAATGAGGAACTTTCATTGAGACGCCGTTTAGCGGTGATGTTGCGTCTGACAGAAAAACGAATTTTAAGTTCTGCCTTTCAGTATCTTATTAACATTTGTCAGAGTTAGCGGTTATGGCTTATCAGTGGTGTGGCTAACATTACCCTATAAACTGTTTTAATCTGTTGGATAAGAAGCGCCCGATCAATATGGGATGAAAACTGTGGTTAACATGTAGGTAGAGTTGTTTGTTTAATTACACACTCTGACTTACCAGCTTTGGCTTATTGGTTTGGTATTGGTCATAACTGTGCTGACTTTCCGTATATTAAAATAATATAAGTTTGTTACGTTCTGTGCAGACCTCATTTTTCGTTACACAAATGTGTACATTAATTGTTTGCTGTGTAGTTCCCTTAATATATTTGAGTTAAGTTCAGAAAGACTGCAGTATATTACCTCTAGGATTTTCTGTTATAATTATAATTTCTTCTTAAAAAAGATTTAAAATAATTGTTCTTCGTTACTTGTTTGACAAGCCAACCTGTAAGGAGTCACTTTATGACTTTAATGACATATTTATCTAGATACAAATAGAGAATAATATTAACTTACAAACATCTACTTATCACTTAGTAAGCTGGTTGAATACAAGTTCAACGATATTACTATTCTAGCTGCCTTTTGATTGGACAATTTCTTAGGAAGATGATATCAGTATTGTCGCCACTAGTTTATTTATTTAACAAAAAAAAATCAGTATACTTTTTAGAATTGTCAATTTCATCAAAACAAAAAATCAAAATGATCCTGTCTTATTGTAGATACCAGATTATATTAAGAACCTTATGGCATAAAGAGAGATTGTACTGAAGCATTAGGTTAAAGATATATTAACTTGTACATATTAGCGTCGTCATGTTAAATATTAAACTACTGAAATTCTAATTGAAGATAAATTAATTCTTGTAGTGCAGATGTTACACACAAAGTATGTTTATAGAAAACAAATATATTGGTTATTTTTACTATAAGAATTTTCCATGTTACAATATATATACTTTTTCATTTGACCAACAGTTACTTATGTTAGTTTTCGCTATAAATATGGATGTTAGAAACTTTTAAAATTTAAGAGAAAATTTGTGATTAAATTATGCAAGCCCTAGAATGTTGTGGATTTGTTTATCACGTTATACAACATTTTTCTTGTACTGTAAACTTGAGTTATGCAAGACTTTTAAAAATCTAAATTGTACTGATTTTGAACCTGTTTCTACTGACGGTGAAAATGTTTTAATTTCAATCATCATTTTATTTACCATTTTCAATAAAAATGTAAACTAATCAATGCATTAGCAAAAACTGCTGGAATAATCTTTGTCTGTATTGTTCCTTTCGTGTGCGAGTTATAATATGCTATTAACTAATTAAAATAATTTAGTGCAATTAGACAAGCTAATGTTATTAATATTATTAAAGTCGAAGCTCTGATTTGTAACAGTAGCTTGACAATCTTGTTTTATATCGTTTGAAATAAACAAGTTTGAAATGTCTGTAATGTGTCTGTATAACCTTTTTGAGGGAAATAAACTATGATTGAGCTTAAGTAATAATAAATTATCAATATTTTTTGGTGTGTTATATATTGCCAGATGTAAAATATTGGGCCGGGCATGGATAGCACAATGTTAATCCGAGGATTTGTGGTTCGCGACAGGTTGTTACAAAACCGTAGATTCATGTAAGAGTTTAAATTAGAGACGGCTGTTCGCAAACAGCCCTTGGTGTTAGGGACGACAGTTTGTAGATGGTACACGTTAATGTTAGGGACGTCCCATGGTGTAACTTTACGGTAAAATTCTAAGACAGTTTTTCTTAATATATATTTATATTTGCATTCACGATAAGTAATATATATGATCCTTTGTCAAGATTAAGATCCACAACGAAGTGAGACAGAATCGAAGTAGGTGTTAAATGATTAAAGAAAGTTTGAGTGCTCTTTACAAGTTATGAGAATTTTCAGTTTATGATATTATTATCGAGAATTATTTCTGTAATCCTAGATTTATTCTTGACTGCTAGAAAAATTATAGCCAATGAAATTACCGACCTGAAAAGTAGTACATAATATGTACAATTGAAAGGAGTACAACAACGCTAAAATAATTACACAATAACTAATTTATTAAAAAAGAAGACCAGCACTAAAAAAGACCCGACATGTTTCGGTATTCTTACGCTAGGTGGCTAGGGCGCTCGACTCGCAATCTGAGGGTCGCGAGTTCGGATCCCAGTCACACCAAACATGCTGGCCTTTCAGCCGTGAGAGCGTTATAAGTGACGGTCAATCCCACTATTCGTTGGTAAAAGAGTAGCCCAAGAGATGGCGGTGGGTGGTAATGACTAGCTGCCTTCCCTCTAGTCTTACACTGCTAAATTAGGGACGGCTAGCGCAGATATCCCTCGTGTAGCTTTGCGCGAAATTCAAAACAAACAAACATTCTTACGCCACCATTTTCAGTAGTAAAAGTTTGGTCCAGATTTGTATAACTACGTAATCATTTGCATTCCTTTAGCGCCATCTCGACATAATGATTTTGTTATATTCCATATTATATATCAGTAAATAAATGAATTCCAACTTATGGGTGTTGTGGAAACATATTCTGGTCCTAAATTAAATCAGTGCTGGAAGTTTTTAGTAATATTTACTAATTGTATTATAGTGAATATAAATCATATTTTGAAAACTTATAAACAGCAAAACGCCAATGTATAACATGTTATTAAACCTAATAAATATAACCCAAAAATTTTATAAACTTAATATTCATTAATCAAAACATAACAGACATCACAAGTTCGCAGCAATCAGAACATGATAGACATAACCACAACCTAATAAACAATATATCAATAACCAAAACATAATAGATATACCGTATTTTTCGGAATATAAGACGCACCCTTATTTTGAAGACAAAGTTTTTGGGGAAAAAAGCTACAGTCGCATTTGAAAGATTTTTATTGAACAAACATTCAATTTGATACTTTAAAAATTAGTATAAAAATATTGTTCTAAACACAAAAGAGCTCAAAACATCAAAATATGAAAATACCGAAAATCAAAAAAAGGGTTTACTGTTGTTTAGTTTGGTTCAAAACCTACAAAATCTTTATTGTTTTCACTGTAATTTATTTTTT